AGTAATCAGACCAAAACAGGGACGAGGTACGACCTCGTTTCCTCATGCGAGTACCTCTTATGGCTGCAGTTCGTCTTTATCCATCAGACTGTTGTTGCGAAACGAATAACAAAGACGCGGTCACAAGACGGTTCATACCTTCGCTTGTTTGTTCCTTTAACCGTTATTAACATATTCGAATCTCGTTTTGGAGCGACTGTTTTCTGAACAATTATTCAGAAAAACCGAGAAGCAGCATCCCCACTCTGTATTTGAAAATAAGCTCTTGTTTATGCCTACGCAAATGATTCTGAAGAACATTATTCTTCAAAGATTTTCTCAAACCTTTAATCCCAGGGCATACAAAGAAAAACTGATCTAGAAAGAAGTCTCTGATTCAATCGTCACAGGTACAAAGAAAATTGTGGCTCAGTAACTTGCAGCTGCAGGTATCGCTTCCTAAACGGTTGTCATAAAAACTACCTCAATTAATTCCGATGATTTTGTAAATGTTTCCAAAACAGGCAAAGTAGCTTACGTTTGTTCCGTCGATCGACCGTAGACCCTGGTGAACTGGAATGGCCAGGGAAGTTCTGCACGAACAAGCTCGAACAGTAGTGAGTGAAGATTATGCTCTTTTTGTGTTGAAGTGGATCTTCATCCCAATTACGTGATTACCTACGATTATGAGTCGTGAGCCATGACTGAAAAAAATCGATCCCGGGTACATTCGGCTGAAGTGGGCTTTCTGAGACGATCTGTCAGGCTCGCGTTTCTGAACACGGTTGGGAGTATACAATTATCCTACAGTGTCTTGGTGTACAGCCGTTGCTCCTTCACAATGACAATTCATGGTTGCCAAGGCTGGACACGTTCTACGAGTAATTCTAGAAAAGAAGGCGAAACCGCTATTACATGTTCATCCGATAGGCGGAAAGCCCCACCAGCAAGAAACGACTAGTTCAATAGAAATCGGACGTAATTGGGGAAAATGTCCGCATGAAATTCTCTAGGTCAACATTGGCAAAACTTTGAGCTATATCAACACAATTGTGTGCGGGCGTAATTCGTCACCGAATAATGGTTAGTCAAGATGATCCAGTATTATCGGAAATATATGCTATCATTTATCACATATCATCAGCCTCATTACATCCACCGCTGGTTGAAAGCCTGACCAAGACTTTGCCCTAAACTACCATAAGATATCTGTCATTTTCTTCCATTCTGATCCAGCGAACCAGTTCAACTCCTATTGTCATCGACCTGAAGGTCATCCAACTGGTTTACTGTCTCTTGCAACCCAGTCTAGTGTCAACTTGGTCCAGAGATGATCGGTGCTTACTTCTTGCAACGTTTCCTTTCCACGGCGACTCTAATTTCTTCACTCTGGCAATGACATCAGAGACTCTTATTTGTGCTCTTATACATTTCTTCGTCCTTCCACTTTTTCTTTTTATTCCAAACATTATGTTTTCATGCTGCGCTGCACATCCATTGGTTAATGTTTGGAGAACTTCCCGCTTCAAGCACAACCGCAGTTTCGCGGATATGAACATTTTCAATCTTTCAAATGCCAGTTATTATTTTTTGCTCATTTCGAAGAGTCGGTCCTCCGTGCAGAAATGAACCGTCCCGGAAAAATGCACCTTTGCATCTCTTCAAGCCTCAATCCAGTGATTTATTACACTTATGATGCGAAGCGATGCAGAATATGTACAGGATTTCACGGCGTATTGTACCGTCACCTTGCTCCAGGTTGCCTAAGGAGGCCATTTACACCAGCAACGGCTCCATGGTATTTGAGCACCTGCAGTGCCAGATGCATCCCTCAACATTTTGTCCGTTAGAACCACCTCACACTCATCACGAACGATGTTTCAGGAGTAAGTACTCTTTAAAAGCAACTACTACCGGAACTTCGATAAGACATTCGGGGCTGTGCAGCACGCGGCCAAACAAGAACATTTATGTCGATGGTTTGAGTGTAGCCGTATCGTCAAAGATAGACTTTGGCTACACAAGCGGAGAGGGAGGGGGCATTAATCATGCCATCCTGGGAAAACGTCAACCGTGATAAAGGATACGAACTTTGCGCGAATTGGATGAACCCCGCTGCCCCTGTCGTCTCACACTATTTAACCAACAG